AGGCTGCAAACCCAAACCCTCCAGGCCCCAACATGCAGCTTATACGTGACAGCATATTCCTCAATCACTAAACCTGGGCCAGGACCTTAAGCCCACGGCCCACACAGAACCAAACGTCTACTCTTTGATCAGACGGTTTGACACTATTGGAGCCTCTGGCCGTTGCCATGACAAGCATGGTCCACGTAGGGAAAAGCCAGCGGAGGCCACCTGAGTTCGTAACAGAATTTCAGCTGATGTGTTGGGATGTGAGGTTCGGGATTCAATGTGCAGTATTGAGGTGTAGGACCTAGCTTTGGGATTTGGGGCGTGGGCATTCAGGATTATAGGGGCTCAAGAGGTAAGGGGTGTCGGGCTTGAGTGCTCATGAGAAGTTAGGAGTCTGCAATCTTTCAGAACAACTAGGAAAGGGTTTAGAAGCAGACCATAGCCTGGATACATCCCAGTCTTGTATCATTAAATCAGCGGATCCCATATGACACCCATCTTGCTCCCATTCCCTGCCCCAAATAGAGTTAAATGAGCAAAAAATAGGCCTGAACTGATTGGGTCTTATTTGAGGTTTTTGTTTGGGAGGGGAGTAAGGGGGGGTCACGTAGGATCCCTCGATTGAATCCCTTGAGCTTCAATGCACCGGCAGACCTGACGCAGATGCTTCAAGCCAGCAAGCCCCTCAGGGAACAAAACCCTTCAATCAGGAGCTAGAATTGGAGAGCCCACTGGGACGTAGCTCCGCTGCTTCCGTGAGAAGACGTGCCAGATGACCTCGAAACCACACACAGACACTGCTGGGCAGCCTTTGTGTTGCAACGTTGCCGTTTTGCCAGCAGGGCATCTGCCAAGGACACTGACCTTCAGAGGTTCGCTGGCGCCAGGATAGAGTTTCAAAAGAAGACCTGGGCTTCCAACAACTCTGCGTGTGAGTAAATGCCATGTTGTCATTCCTCGCCTTCAGGACTCCCCACTCAACTGCCCCAGAGGAAACGCCTAAACCAATCCCTGAATCCCAAACCGTCTGCCAAAGCCCCAATGCCCAAACCCTGCAACTAAACCCTACATGCAAAAACTCTGAACCCTGCATTCTGCCCAAATTCCTTGCCTCCCAGGCCACGGCGCCGACATTGGTCGGCTCTTTTGGCGTCTGGCTTCAGAATAGAAAGCTGGCATTCCAATAGGGCTACTCAACTCCTTTCCTCCGACTTTAGGGTTGAGGGCCCATAGCTGCTCTCTAAGACCCCCAAAATCCTCCAAATTTGAAGCCTTAAATCTCAATCCCAAACCCTGGTCCCTCAACCCCAAGACCCCCTAAACCCTACCCCAAAGCCTATTAGCCTTAGGCCTGTGGCGTTTGCGGCGTCTGTGGGACAAGCTTCGCCTTCCGAAACCCGGGCGTCGCGCGGGCGTCGGAACGTCAGGCCCCAGAGCGAAGCCTGAGGTGTCCAGGACTTCCAGGGTTCAGGGTGTACATAGTAGTAAATAGTTGTAAATAGTAACCTCTTCAGTGTAGGCCCCCCAAACAATGTAGGGCGTCGGCGTTGGCCGAGGATTTCGGGTGGAGGGTGCCTTTAGATTTAGGGCTGTGCCATGGTTGCTATGTATAGCTGAAAGTTCAGAATCCTGGTGCTTGGGCTTGGGGTACGGGATTGCTGTCCAGGGTTTAGGACTTGGGATGCGAGATTTAAGGTTGCAGGGTTTGTGTGGAGTTCAAGTTTCGTTTGGAAGAGGCTCAGGGCCTGATGTAAGGTTTTGCAAACATGGCCGGGTCTGCTCGAATCTGGGACCCTAAATCCCAAGCTCCGCACTCTGAACCTGAAATCCATTCACATGGACCGCCAATTAAACCCTACACCCCATATCTCTCCATATCACCTATATCCTCTTTAGCGGGACCCTTAATTTTGAGGTTTCTGAATTTCTGCGAGCAATGTGTCAGGCTGCTGGCCATGTTCTCGAGGAGCAAGCGCCATGCCCAGCAGATATGTGTTTGAATGACAGAAACAAGGAGAGGGGAAAGCTACATTAGTAGCTGGCGCTGGGCTAGTACGGTTCTTCGTGCTTCTTCACCCTCTACTGCGGATGAGGTCCCAAGGTAGTGGCTTGGAGGAAGCTTTGTCTAGACTGTCTACTGTAGTCCAATTCGGAAAGTGCCTCTCCCAATAGACTAGGTAGCCTAGAGCGCGTTCGAAAATATGAACGACTATTGAGATTTTAACACGACAAGGAGGGCCGGCAGCATCGGACACAAGAATGAGTTCAATCTAGCCCTGGCAATCCAGCCCTGCCAACTGCTGTCAAGCAAGCATTGTCCAAAGCTATTTGGAGTGTTGCCATCCTTTGTATGGCGTCGAGACTATTATAGTCTCACGCTGATTGCGTACCGCGATGCTTTCGAACCGGACTGGGATCACTTTGCAGACTGTTGGCATCAGTCTCGTCTTCCTATATCCCATAGGCCCTGAAGATCCTAAACCCTGAGAGTCTAGCCCTACCTTACTTTCAGGAGAGCATGCTGCAGCTGAAGATGCAATCAGAGGAGAGCCTTGGCTCCTTGGCTTCCTTTATAGGCCTAATATATAACCCCTATATAATCCCAGTTTCCATGTCATTGTCCATTTTCTTTTCCATTTGATTCTCCATTCTTGGGGTAATATCCCTATATTGGGTACCATAGTCTTAGAGTCCTTAGCCTTGAGGGGCAGGGCTGCGGGTTTAGGAGTTTGGGAGTTCAGTGCTTGTGAGCCTCAGGGGATTTACGGGTTGGGGTTCAGGGGTGTAAGTACAGGGAAATATTGGAACAGTTGCCCATACTTGCAGACTTGTCGCTACTACATCTGCGAGAGCAGCATCAGCGGCGGCAGCAGCAACGACAACAAGAGCAGCAACAGCCACAGCAACAGCAACCACAACAACCCCAGCAACCCCAACAGCCGCTTTGGCGGAAAACAAGTATGGCGGATGATTTTGCAAGCCATGTTGGTTGCGCCCAACGTGAGTTAGTGCAAGGCCGCAAGCATTTGCGCAAAGCGCAAGCCCTCCGCAACAGCCCCAGCCTCCCGCTGAAGTCGACCCCCAAGACGTGTACTGTCGGTTCTCCATTGCTTAAACTGAATCTGCCTAAGGCAGCATCCACTTAGGGAGGAGCAGATCCCATGTTCGCCAAGGTTTGCCCTACCTCCCTGAGCCTGGAATGCTGCCTGCATGGGCAGAACCAATACTAGCTGCTTGGCTACGACACGAGGCCTTTCAGGATAATCTGTGGGTTTCTTAACCTGAGTGATCATAAGGGTGATTTAGGCTTCAGCCCTAAGGAGTGATTAGGTAGTGGTCATGCTGACAAGCTCCCATACCTAGTTCCAACTTGGCTTCAGATCCGACCAAATTCTTTGTTGTATGATTATAAGGCTGCGCAATTTAGGTTTAGCGTTGGCATTTGCAGGTAGCAGAGTTGCAAGCCGCGGGAGAAGGTCCGGAATGTTCTGGCAGACCAATGCCCAGCCTCATCAAAGTTGCATTCACTCGCTCCGAGGGTCCCCAACATGACCATATTCCGAAACCAAGTTGCCTGAGTCTCCCGGTCTCCCCCCCTCACCACATTGGAGGGCCCCTCTGCAAGGACTTTTCAAAAGAAGAGCTTGGCCTTTTGTTGCGTTACACTTTGCAAGGTGGTGCCGCACAAGGTCCAGCGAGACATCGAGCAGTTAGAGTACCTCGTGTCCAAAGGCCATGTTGTTGAAATCAATGGGAGATGTTCGACCAGATGGGTACAGGCAGTCCTGTTTGGGCCCCTGCATACGCATTCCACCCTCTTCATGAAAACTATTAGAGACCACCATGATATCCCCTCCATATCCCAGGGTCCTGCAGAGTACCCTTCATTTTGAGACATGCGTCTACCACCTGCCTTCAGCTGCTGCTCAGATGTAGGAGTTCCAACATGATTCATGCATAAACTCCCGAATGGGGCCCCTAGAATCTTTCACAATCTCCACATTGTCTTTGGGTCTTTAGGGAGACACCCGGAAATCCCCATGTGTGGTGGAGAGAAGGTGATGCCAAGCTTTTGTCTGAGAAGCGGTGTTCCTGCAACAGTTACTGAAAGCCATTTGGCAAATTGAAACCTTTTCCAGGCATAATATGGCACTTGCATTGGTGAAGCAACATGCTCAAATCCGTACTTCGAAGCCCGTCGACTTTGCAACGCGCAGAGGCCAAAGCCTGCCCAGATGCCCCAAAACACTATAAGGAACATGTCTATGCTAAAAGCCAAACGGAATGCCTGACTCTCAGATGGCCGGAAAACCAGACCCACAATTGGCATCAAGAGTGAGGGTCCAGGAAATCAGGTTTAGGGTGTTGGTCCGCCTAGCAGTTTGTGGATGCAGAAGGGCTGAGGGCTTTGGCGCAGCCATGCTGTTTTGGGCCGGTCCAAGGTCGGGCCATCGGTTCCGAGTTTCAGGGGCTGCTTCATCATGGAGGTTGGGCCACATGATGGCGCCGTCCAATCCTCTGTATCAGCAGTTCTTCACCCCCAAAGATTGGTTGGTTTTCTAGGAGAGGCTGCAGTACGATACTCTACGTACCAACGTGATTAGGGGACTTTTTTCCCGCCCCCCACTGGGGCTCCGAACCAATGAGGGAAGCCATACGCCTACACGCATTAAGCCAGGACGGCTGGACTCGGAGATGGAGAACTATGTGGCCGAATTCGCGCTGCCGGAGTTCCGGGCAGTGCTGTAGCTAGCTCTGGATTTAGGGGCTCAGGGGTTGCCATGTAAGATCTGGGGTTTAAAGGATTTAGGAGTTATGGTTTTGTGTTACGGTTTCGGAGTTTTGGGAGTTCGGGTTCAGGGTTTCGGTTAGGGCTCAGAGATGGAAGGTTCTTAATGTGAATCGCTGATACAGGGTTAGACAGTGTATGTGCGGCTTGCGCAGGGTAACTCAAACATGCGGGTTCATCTTGTGGGTCCTTGCAATTGGGTCTGTTTTGTTTCTGGGTAATTATGTGAGGGGACCTTGGCGTGAGAAAATCCACGAAGATTCCAAGTTATGGCAAACTTACTTGAACCTCTGTAATTAGGCCGCGTGAATACCCTGATCAACAAAGGCCCTGCAATTCGCAATGCTTCTGTGAACCTGAGCATTCTCACTGCATTGGAAGTACTGTGCATAGTATTGCGATGACTTGCTGACTTTTGGGGAGTTTCAGGCCCTATACGATTCCAAAGTGGCCTTGATAATTCCGCCTTATTCCACAAGCTTCCCGTGGCTCCCTTAGGCACCACATGTGGAGAACCCCTCAAAGCAAAACCCTGCGCACAACCCGACACAAGCCCTAATCCTTAAACACGAATTCTTAGACCTAGACCCGAAGCCTCAAACCTTGAGTCCTAGACCCTAAATAGACCCTAAACCCCTAAGTGTAGCTCCAAAACGCTCACCCCTAAACCTTTCCAAGCACAACCAAGGCAGGTTGTTAACCAGGCCATCTCTCGGGTGAGCCTGCTGTTTTTGGTACGCACATGGCTTGGGCTCGGGGTTAAAGGTTGAGAGTAGGTGAGCCGACCATTTCCATGATAGCTAAGACCAGTAGTATTGTTGCTACGACTGCTGCTGTTGAGATCATGCTGATGCTGATGATGATGATGATCATGATGATGATCATGATGCGCCCCACGTCATTTTCGGGGTTGTCTTGTCTACGCTACGAACAGTGGTGCTGATGCTTGGGAAAGACCCTCTCTGCTTCAGAACGTGGGGTCACATGAGCGACATCGATGTTCTTCATTCAAGCTGTAACGGAAAGCATTCCCGGTTTCAGCATTGATGCTGTGGCAGCTATTTGTGCCACGGCGAACTCACGATGAGCCTTCAAGGCGTGTCAGCTTTCAACTCGCATTGGGCATGCGAGAGAGCCTCCTTTTATTCAGCGTTCAAGCTTGGAATTGAAGTATTGCACGTCAGTGGACACTTCAATCGTCTGTAAGTAGCACTGTTGTGGTGTGTATCCAAAGCTTTGCAGGCGCTCGATGGCACCAATGATGACTCTGCAGTCATAGAGCCGAAGCTAGGTCAAAAAGGGAGTTCTAAGATGGACTCGCTTACTTTTGTCAAGTACATACAGTAAGCTTAATTTCTGGGACTTGGGGCGTTTGGAGTCGGAGGGGTGAAGATCAAGGTCACGGTGGTAGCTGCGAGAGCATGTTAGGGACTTCGGGATTCAAGTTGCAAGTACGCAGGTCTTACTTACATTTGGAAAGTTTCAGCAGGCCCGCCGTAGCATTTAGAACAGAGGCTTGAAGTTGAGCCAGGAAGTCTATGCTATCTGCGCGCGTCAACGCAAACCGTGGAAGTCTCCAAAATATCAAGATGTAGCAACACTCCCCCGCCGCCTGTTGATCAATCCTCGTGTTTTTTGTGCCAACCGTTGGACCTGGAGAAGACTCCAGCTTGTGATTCCACGCCGCAGCGCGCGTCAGTCTGAATATTGGACGTGTTAAAGTTAAAGTTTGCAAACTCCGTCACAAGGAGCAGTGAGTTCGCAGGTCGTGGTGCCATTTTCGACTTTGAGGCTTGCCTTGCTTTCTACTAGTCTCAAACTACATTTGAGGAATGAGCACCTGGCCGTGTTCTTTGGCCTGCACAACAGGCAGGATACAAGGGTGACCGAGCAAGCACAGTGTTCACGGTCGAAGCTTCTTTACGGCTCGTTTGACTTTTGGCGGTTCTTGCCGCATTCTAGGCTATAGACATGTTTGTTCCAGAGGCAATTTACCCGAGGACACCTGAAGATTTCTGGGTTGTCTCAGTGTTGTCTCAACGCCCAAAGCCTCATGCAGACACTGTCTGACCATCAGCTCCAGGGCAGTCCACTTCTTCTACTACTACTACTACTACTACTATTACCGCTAGTGCTACTCCTACTGCTACGTCTTCTTGTACTTCTGTTGCAGCAGACGTCAGCGCCTCATCGCCTTCTGCCTTTAATCGGCAGGCACCTGCATCTGCACCCGGGCACAAAGCTGCCGGGGTCAGTGGTCAATCCTGCATTGGCCCCTCGGCGCCTTTTGTAAAAGGGCTCCAAGGCAGATTGGCATTGATATGTGCTGGTGTAGGCTTTCTATGTTCACAACTTCTAGCTACAGGAGTTCGTCTTGCATCCCTTGAAGTACACAGAAGAATGAGAACGCCATTAAAGTGCCGAATTTCATGGGATACTCGGTGCAACACAGTGTAACCATCAACATGGCTACTGTGCTGGTATTGGTCTACAGCTGGCATTGCTAAATCAGTAACATCATAAAAGCCTGCCTTCATGACCTTCGGCAGCGCAAAACGGATCAGGTTTCATGCTGCCTTTGTCATTCGGGTTCCATTGCTCAACCATGTGCAACAGTTTAGGCCAAACTTGGTCCAAGTCGGGTCCCTGGAAACTCCTGCCACCTGGGCACTGTAACCTCTAAATGCCTCGACACTTAACCCGAATCCAAAGTTTGAATCCCATCTTGTTTGCAAGGATCTGGCTGAAGCACAGCATCAATTTGCTGAGCAGAAGCTGCTGGAACAAGAATTTTGAAGATCTTCCTTTGACTATTATTCCCAAAAGCTCAGAGGGTTTGATTAGAGTTACAAGCTGAGATTTGAGATGGGCCAGGTGTGATGGCTAGGTGCTTTCTGGGCTTGTTGGACGCTGTTTTGCGAGGGCTGTTGGGTGGGATGGCTCCTTGGAAGTCGTACAAAACTGCGTAGATACAGTTTCCAGTACTTATACGGCCAAAGCCTCTTGCTGCCTCGTGGTTGTTCGTGGTTCGATTGAAGGTCATAAGGCTCATTGTTCAATTCCCCCGACCGCACACACTGTTCAAAAGTCGGCAAGGCGCATTCCTCAATGAGTAGCATCACAACTCCAATTGGCGGAAGCTCTGCTAGCCGTTGTTTTGTTATTCGTTCGGCATCTCTTCCGTAATATCCCGGGCTCCTCAGTGTGTTGCATGAAGCGTGCTTCGGAACAGAGCTTCAAATCTTGTTCTTCTCAGAACTTTGGATTTGTTCGGGGGTTTTATATAGAAGCCTTGATATTTTGGGGTATCTATGGGGTTGACCTCGAAGCTCTGAGAAACAGGGGTGCAGGGTTCTTGCTTGCAGAGAGGTTTCCACCTGTTGTCGCACATCACTCTGCTACATGCACAGACTCTCCTTTTACTCCGGAGTCTCGAATCGCTGGCCGGGTATTATCCTCAAAAACTTGCTCTGCATGATGGAGTATTCGTCCCGAAGCAAGAGTATCTTGGCCTTCGCTGGATGTTCCAGCACCGAGGCATCGGGCTATCGTTATGGACGACTTTCTTACCGAGGGCGCCTTGCAGGTCCTCTGTGGGTATGTGCCCAATGAAATGACCGATGGTCTTTGTTTGCGGTACTGAGCAGAAGACATATAGAGAAACTGGAGTAACACTCCAAAACAATAACAGCCACACGCAAGCAAGCCTTGGTCCTTCAGCTGTACAGGCTGCAACGTGGCGAGTCAAGCATTGAAGCGCGTTGCGGGTTGATGTTGGGTAAGATCGAGAAACTGGACGTTTGTCCATTGCCTGGTTTTGTGTCTGGAGAAGGTATTGAAGCGTAATGTGCCCGTATTCTGGTGCTAGTATTAGCTTGATCCTGCTAGACCTGTCCCTTGAACTGCGGATCAGAAGAAGTTCTCTCTTTGTTAGTTAACACTCACCCCACATGTATTAGAAGAAGCCTACACGCCTAATCCATACATCCTGATCCCTGCAGACCTCAACCCTGCCCCCCTTCTAAAACCCTAACCTCATAGCCTCCTGTGACCCGACCCTAGACAAACCATTCAACCCAAACCGCTTTTGTTATTGTGTGGCCAGGTGCTGCGTGATTTTCTATTAGAGTCGACCATCTGGACGGACGTCAAGCGAGGCTGGAGTTGTACCCAGTGGCTTGTATCCATCGGAAAGTGGGAAGCCCGTAGCCCATGATAATCTTTAGAAGCGCCTTACTTGAGGCAACAGACTTTTCAGGTTTCAACAAGCCAGGTTGAGTTGTTTCGAGGTCAGAGAGCAAGCCGGCGTTCCTTCACCATTATTTTTAATAATCATTCTTATTCTTATTTTTCTCATGAATATTACTCTTATTGTTATTAAGGTAATCCTCGTTCTCTAGTCCTCTACAGTACTCAGTACTCTTATTATTGCTAATATTTCTAGTATATTATGACGTGCGCTCAAGCACAAGTGGACTTGGGCAGGTTACGTGGGTGCTTATCTCCAGACCGGGCTGGCCAGCTCTCTCATAGTTCAGGTCGCGCAGGCTGGCTGGGGTTTAGCAGTTGAGGGTCGAGGTTCGCCGGGTCTAGGGTTGTAAGGGGCCAGCTGGCCGTCAGTGTTGGGCCAAAAGGCACTAGAGCTTTCCAAGCAGGATCCAACTACCTACCGCCGGAATAACAGGATCTTCCGAAATGAGGACTCGTTCAAACAAATTGCAGACCACCTCACTAGCATTGAGCTTCTATAGGCATGGCCCCTGATAGGCGTCCTTGAAGATTATTTCGAAGAAGTGAGCCTCTAAATCCTAAATCCTAAACCCCAAAACCCACAGACCCCAAATCTTGAAACCCCGAACCCCTTTCCTCAGCATCCACACAGTCCTCCATCTCCCAAATCAAAAAAACCTTCAGATAGCTTGAAGGAGATTCAGACAGCCCTGCCCCAAGTCCTGGGCGG